TGCTAGCCAATTAGGGTTGGACACCGGTACACGGTACCAGTACTGTACCGAATAGTTACTTCAAAAATACCGGTAAAATACCGTTTCATTTTATACCGGTACTGATAACGGTATTTCTTGATCTTTAAAGCATTGTTATACATTTAAAATTATTTTTTAAAAAAGATTCCAGACATGCCAAAATGGAATTATCGATACATTGAAAGGGTAGGCTAATTAACGAAATCAGTACTAAGTAAGATACAAGTTTCCTTTCTACAGACGATATTCGAGGGAGACCAATGTGTATTAAAAATATTTAAATTAATCTTGTTTCAGTTTTATTAATAGAAACTGATAGAAATTGTCAATTAAAAAGGCAAAACATTGCGAATTTGTGATGTCATCTCTCTCCATTTCTCATGTTTTGTCGTTAAGTGCTACCAAGCAAAATGGCGACCGGATGAAGCGATCAGCTGTCATTTAGCAGAGAATTAGACGGCAGCGTTTGTAATCTTATTTTTTATTTTATAGAGTTTCAGATTAATTTGTTTTGTTGATCATTTAATAAAAGGTTGAATTATAGAAATAGAATATATTTAACACATTTTAGATTATAACATTAAAAGTTTGGTTATAAGCAGTAATATGTTAAAAAATAAGCCCGGATTCTCATTCATCAAGGTATAGTACCGTACCGATAAAAATACCGTATCGTTTAAAAAATACCGGTATGGTATCATACCGTTTCATCCTTAACGGTATCCAACCCTATAGCCAATAAAATGTTAACATAAAATAAAATGTTATCCCTACCAATCTACCCTATTTTTTCTAAGGTTGGAATAGGAAACATATTATTTATCTATCTTGGCCTTAGTTCATTCTGACAAGTCTTGTCTGATGTTATAAAGTTAATTACCTAAGTGGGGACATTCTGTCATTTGATATTTGACCAATCACATGATTCACCTATGTATTCCTATGAAAAACTTTGATCAGCCATTGTGGCCCCGCCCTACCCACGGGGGTCATGATTTGAAAAAAATTGAATCTACACTACCTGTGGATGCTTCCACGTGTGTTTCATCTTTCCTGGTCCAATGGTTCAGGAGAAGATTTTTAAAAGATGCCATTAATTTTTCATTAATTCATAATTATCTCCCCTTGGAAGAGGGCTTGGCCAGTGTTTGAAATAACAATGCACTCAACCGCCCAAGACGCACGATATTTGTTACGGACGGACACATTCACCTGTATTGCTGCCCGATTGGACATTTAAAAATTTTCCATAATTTAAAATTAAAATATTTTTGGTTGCAAAGTAGGACAAGCAAGCAGGTAAAATTCATCAGCTTATAGGTCCAGGATCAAATATATAGTGAACTGGTCCCATTCACATTATTGCTAAAACAAACATATAAAACACCCAATTTTTTTTTCGGACTAGTAAATTTTTAGCAGGGCAGACAACTTTCACAGGCAAACTGTCCTACATGTATACCTAATTTTACAGGGAGTTTAAAACATTGGCTTTGCCCTTAATTTGAACAAAATTTAATCCCCTTAACCCAAGGATACTTTGTGCCAAATTTGGTTGAAATTGGTCGAGTGGTTCTTGAGAAGAAGATGAAAATGTGAAAAGTTTACAAGGACAACAAAAACGATGACAACAACAGACAAATTTTGATCAAAAAAGCTCACTTGAGCCTTTGGCTCGGATGAGCTAAAAATGAAATACTCACTGCTACAGTCAGAGAATTGGCTTGCAGTATAATGACTTTCTGGCTGGCTATTACGACTTTCCAAATCTATTATGAAAAAAAATACTATATCATGTAGCTACTTCATAGGATGAAAGAACAGAAGAAAATGTTAGAAGATGATAGTTAAAAATCCAAAGTATTGAGCACAAATAATATTCACAGTGATAGCCGCCAGAATGAAAATAAACAAGAGATCTATTGGACTTAGTGCTCAACCAAGTCACTCTGACCTGCTGTTCTTCATCAGTATATTTTTCCCTATTAATATTCCTATATATTTACATTACACGTTTTTGTATATATAGTGAATGGAAATCTATGCTATTCAATACACAGGAAGGGGGTCAAATGGTGTTTCATTATTTTTTTTAAGCCTGGATCAAAATCGACATATTTAATATATAGACTTTACTTTTCTCTCTGATATGCGTGATATATACATTATAGACTTTCGCAATATACTATAGAGATGGGAAATAGAGTTCACACAATATATACCTACAGAAAATGCGTACTAATACTACTTAAGGAATGGTTTTTCCTTTCATGAATTCAAACGACTGCGATATGCTAAAAATTGAACAAATCGCGATCTTTTCCGACCGCGATTTTAACCTGCTATACAGTACATCATTCAAAACCTAATGATTAATTGCTTAATTAACACTTTGGAGTTCCATTGTAGCCTAACCTTATCCATGAGGGGGACAAGATTTGAATACACTTGAATCTTTAATATAGAATATAGATTTGTACTAGCATGTCACGTTTTATAGATTGAAAATGAAATTTTGAGCAGGTGGTATTAAAAAGGGTTTAAATGGTATTTACTGACTGATAAACGTTTTTATAAAGAATAAATAAAAAAAACTTCAGTGGATGCAAATGTATTGGTCTCATGCCAAACAATATTGATCATTTGTTGAATTTTACAAATAGCTATGGCACGCCAAATTCACAAAAATGAGCCAAACCTAGTTTCACAAATGATAGAAAAAAATTTATCGACTGTAAACTATAGTTTACAAACCGTAAACTATAGTTAATGATTTGTTAAGTATAGTTTTCATCTGTATAACTATATTTAACAGTTGTTAACTATAATTTACGAATGCTATGCAGCTAATACAAGTTTATCTGTCTGTAATAGAACGTTAACAATAGATTTTGTTGATAAACATATATATACATGTATATATATAGATTCAAGTTTGTAAACTATAATTTAAGATCATTAACTATAGTTAAGAGTTGTAAACCATAGTTTACAAATCGTGAAACTATATTTATCAGATCGTTAACTATAGTTTAGTGAAACTGTATTTATCAGATAATCTATGTCTTGCAATCGCAAATGATTGTTTTCGGTATAAGTATAGTTTACGGTTGTGAAACATAGAATATCGCGTTAACTATGGTTTACAGAAGTAAAATATAGATTAACGTTGTTAACTATATAGTTTACAGTCTGTAAACTATAGTTTACAATTGATAAACCTAGTTTATCGACTGTGAAACTATGTTTAGCTCATTTTTGTGAATTTGGCGTGCCATAAATAGCTATGGCTTGAACTAGTTTTACAATGTATAATTGCTTAAAAAAATGTAAATTTACCAGGCTCTTTTGTGGTTTCCATTGCTTGTAAAGAACTTTGTGCTATATCACCAGTAGTATCTTCAACTCCTTCTAAAAATTGAAATGGAAAGAGTCTCTCGACCATTAGTGGTAGACAAATATTCGCAGCATACGGAGACAGCCGACCTTCTGTTTGAATTTATTGGGTAAAAAAAATAATAGACATCAATCTTACAAAATACAATTCAAGCTTTCAGTGATTTTTCTACACTCAATTTAGGTCTGAATATTGACCCTTTCCCCTCTCAAAAATTACCGATTTTTTCCCAATTTTGAACTGCTTTTTTCCCCCAAAATCAAAGCATATTGATTTGATTATATTGAATTTTTTATGTTCGACTTATCTAAAATGGAACCCTATTGTTTTTGGTCATTCGTACGCTTAAAATAATGGTGAAAAACAGCAGTTTATTAGTGTGTTTGTAGGACTTGGATTTAAATCGATCTAGACTGGCCTGCCTGTCTGATATCCGATATGCATGAGCACAGCGAGGCGGTGCGAAGTGCCACTCGCATACCGAACTAAATAGACTAACATGTACAAACAGAGGAAATTCACGTTAAAATCTGCAAAATATTTCAAGAAATTTTTATGAGTCCAGGTAATAATAATAATCCTTTGCAGTGCATGGCAACATGGTGGCTAAAACATAGCAACGATTTACTTGAAAAAAATTACAAACAATGATTTAATGCAATCTCCATACCACAAAAGTATCGTTTGCGTCCTATGCCAACAGGACTCTTTATCTGACATCATATTTTCGTCACTTTAACAGTTCGGGTATTTTTCGATTTTGTCGGAAACTTTCCGAGAAGTTTGGAATCTCGATCCTGATGCTTGGGAAGTGATTTCTTTTAATTGTTTTGTTTTCTTCTTTCTTCTTTCTTTTTCTTGAATGATAGGCAGTACATGTGTAGGTTTATGATTGTACAGAACTGCGCTCGCCCCAACGGTCACACCATAAAACATATAAAAGCTACGCAGGTAATTCTACCTGCGTAGCTAAATCTAGTGATTGTAGTGAACCTGTTCAACAAGTGAATATGTAAGATCACCAAGTGTGGACGCCGGACGGTAGATGACAAGATGCAGAGTTATTTTATAGATGAATCCAGTGCATCAGACACCTTTTAAGGAACCTGCATACCTTTACTCTTTCACATATTCAATAGGTATTCATGTTTATAACCCAATGCCTAAGACAAGGACCTGTGATCACATCCTAAGCCATTCTTACCTTTCAGTCTGCGAGTTCTTTTCACAAATTTGAAATATTTTCTGTCGGTTACATCTTATGAAACCAAACCAGCATAACTGTCATTTGAATGAAAGGTGTACAAAGTCATATTTCCGATAAAACGGATAAAGTAGCAATTGTTATTATTCCAACAACCGCCATTTTCACACCGGATAATAATAGAGAGCTATAGTACTTAAAATTAAACCGTGTCAAATCCGTATAAAATGTGTAGAATGGTTATGGGTTTTCAGAAGACTTAAATTTTAATTATTAAATACGTATATACTTAAACTATGTTTTGAATCCTCCAAATTATTTTTATATCATTCAAGCGTAATTATAGTTGGAAATATCGAAACCCCTTTAGCTCGAAATTTTCAGGATTGCATTGTCTAAAATTTTGTCAACCCGCATGTCCTCCACCACAGAATGGCAGACGAAATAAAAACATTAGAAATATGGTCGGGGGACTGGGGCTTACCTTCGATTGATTATAAATGTTTAGCTGTCAAGGTAATACCCAAAAAATGGAATAGTTATTTTGTTTTTCTTAATTGGATGTCATCTATTTATGAAAATATGTATTTTGAAATAATAAGGTTTTTTACAGCTGTTCAGTGCCTGTGCAGTACAATGACTGCATTTAACTTTGCAGCTAGACAAACCTAAGTAGCTTTATTAGCTACTTGATGATCGTGTTAAGTTATTTTAATTCAAGCTTTCACAAGTTTGCTTATTAAAATAATGTGCCAGGTGAACGATGTGGCCCACAGGCCTATTTTTAATCATTATTTTACTGATAATTCTCTCCTATTTGGTGAGCATGTAGCTAATTTTTCCCAATTTAAAAGGAATGTGTTGTATCTTTAAAACAAACAAATAAAACCCAGGTGAGAAAATTAACAATTCTCAACCATGACAGTGATACTCATATGGGTTCAATCTCCCTTGGCCAGCTAGCTCTGTTGGTAGAGCACCTGACTGGACTTTCTTGGGGTCTGTATTTGGCTCATGGTCTCATCAGTCCCATTTTTTCCTCTCCTGTTAGAGATTTTGTGCTGTTGACTTCCCTTGGACTTGCAGGTGAAGCCGAGATAGTGTCCTTGGGTTAAGACCTTTAAATAGCAAGGAGTGTGGCTTTCAATTGGGGTTGATTGCATGTGGCCATTTAGCTCAGTTGGTAATCTTAGATTTTTCTTACTCTAACCCCTGCTTTTTAAATTGTGACGTGCAGGAAAGAGTCATAGCGGAGGCCATATTGAAAAGTGAGAATTCAGCGACAACAACTGTTTAAATGCTATTGCCATTGAAACAGACAAATGAGGCATCATACGAGAAGGAGACTTTATTCAAGTGATGCTCCATTTGTCAGCGACAAAGTCATTTAAATGGCGATAACATCCTTTATATGATGATTAAGTTGTAGAGGAATCACCCATTTACTGATTTCTTGTGTATCAGAAGTTAGATCAGCAAAATGAAGTTGTAGAAGGTAAGGCAGAGTTGCGACACCAGCTGGTGTCGCTGAATTCCCACTTTTCAAAATGGCCTCCGCTCTGACTCTCAATAATAATAATAAATAAACATATTTATGATAGGTATATAAAGCTATGTAGAAATTAATGTAACAGTAACACATAAGTGTAAATGTAGTGATTATACCGAATCTACCATGGTTGATTTCTGCTCTTCTATTTTTACAGGCATACTGCAAGTTTTCAGGAATACCAGTAAAAGTTATACCAAGAAGTAATCCATTGAGATCACCATCTGGTATAAAACTTAAGATCATTGGCCATCATTTAAGCAAATTGTTTGTTCTGCCTGCCTTTCATGTCATTTGTTGAAATTGCCAGAGCAGGCTTCACCTTGAGACTCCACAAAGCTGAGGGTAGGCAGCATTTACACCAAGTTTCAGCCCCTCCCCAAAAAAGTGCAAGTGTTTTATACCCTTCATTTGAAACAAAATGGTAGATTAAAGAAGGTGTATTGCTGCCTTACCCTTGCTTTAAATGTTTGATATTTTCGTATGTACAGCTTTACCATAGGATTTCACTTGAATAACTTTTTTTTTTGCAGGTAAGTTGCCTGTTTTCAAGGATGGAGACACAGTAAAATCCGATGTTATAAGCATTTACAATTACTTAAAAGAACAGGTATTTAAATATTTTACAATAATAAACATTATGTATACTATTTAAATACTGTAATGGAGGCATATTGAATGTTAATTCAACTTTTATTTCTGCTCGAAATTGTACTAGCTGTGGATATTAACATATCGAGAGAGAAAAATTAATACAAAGGAACAGTTTATGTTAGTGTATTGATTGTGCTAATAACTTGTATATAGAACTGAAATATAAATGAATTTGTTAAACATAAATTTTAAAAACAATTGAACTTTATTGATTCACTTTTATTGGTTTTATGAATTACAATTTGTGCATGTACTTAACAATTTTTTCAGAATTGTGGAAATGATGTATCGTTATCCAGGAGGATTCAAGCAGATAACAAAGCTTTCGTTCATTTCCTGGAAGAAAAATTAAAACCTGCATTTGTAAGTCTTGTTTCTCCTTTATAGTTACACCTTTCTAGATGTTGCTACCCCTGTCTGTCACTCTGTCTGTTTCACTCATTTTTCTCTGCAGAATTTCTCATACATTTTTTTTTTTGTTACATGTATGTTCGTTTCCTTTCACTTCCTTAGCAAGGAAGTTTCAAATAATTGATTAAAACAAAATTGTAGGCAAGAGGAATTATTTCACACTGACAAATCTATTCTATGAATGATACCCCTGTATTTGTATATTACATGTAGTTACACAGTTGGTGGGTAGATGCCCAGGCGTACACGGAGACCACTCGACCACTCTATGCCAGAATGTGTGGGTTTCCACTCAGCCTCTATGTACCACAGAAAATGATGTCCTCAGCTACAGACTCTGTGTACACACCACTCACGAAGCCAGATCTGACTGAACAGGAGATTGACAAACTGGTACAAGTCATCTCAGCATTTATATTTAATTCTGAACGTTTTATTCCAATTATTTCACTGTGTCATCTTTAATAAAAAGTGATGTAAAATTATCTGCTAAACAAAGCAAATCCTTTGATATGCTCACAGAGATTGCCACTTAAAGTAGTGACAAAATCAAATATTTTTTATTTTATAGATATATAAAGAAGCTAAAGAATGTATAAATCATCTGTCCTACAAACTGGGAGAACAAGACTTTTTCTTTGGAGATATGTAAATACAATTTTATACACATAAAAATTAGATTAACATTACTTTTATTTACAATTCCTAGTACATACAGTTTAAAGGTCATGAACCCTCAGAAAAGATTGATAAGACTCATATACATGTACCTGGGTACATTTACTTGTACAACTATTCCCTCACTTCAAAAAATAAAGAATTTTATCGAAATAAGAACATACAGTCACAGTCTCAATTACATAAGTCACACAATTTCTTTCAGTCCCACATCATTAGATGCCATGGTATTTGGATACATTGCTCCTCTTATAAAGGGACCACTGACTAACAACCAACTGGTCATACATATCAAGAACTGTCCAAACCTCTGTAACCATACTGACAGAATATTATCCAGGTTCTTTCCACAGTCTCAAGAGGGTAAGTTCACAAATACATGAAACGTTGCTTTGTTTCAAGTTTGGTTTGTATAATGGCTATTACATGTATCAGGTTTTATAGCTGCAGAACTTTTATTAAGCATTATGATTTTATATTTAAGTCTTTGACCATAATGCTACAGATCCCATAATGCAAATATTGTGCAATTTATGGCACAGGGTTTTCTGTGCAGTTCTGGAGAATTTCTTCACTTTTCAGCATTGGTCAATAAACTACCTTTAAGTCACTCCCCAATTCCAGACACATTCCGGAACCAATCTGTATACTTTATCCACCATCTAATCCTTTGTAGTCATCTCTACAGACCAATAAACTATCTTGTTTTGAATTTTTTGTTGGTTGGGAGAATATTCAAAACAAACGAGTTTATTTGTCTGTAGAGATGATTATAAAGGTTTAGAAGGTGGATAAAATAAACAGGTGTCACCGGGTTTACAGGTGCGTGAAAGTCAGTTGAGGCTGACTTTTCACCACCTGATTTGGCATCCAACGCACAAAACCCACTGTTCACTTGGAATATACTTCATGCATTTCCTTAACTTATAGAATTCGAGGAAAAAATTCCTACAAAGAGGGGGAATATGACACCGGGTTCACAGGTGCTTAAAAGTTAGTCAATATATTGCAGAGCTGCCAACCCTTATGATTTTGGCGTAAGTCTTCTGAAATTAGCATCCAAAATACGCCTTACGATTTCTTTTTATATTTTTTCGATTTCTTTTTTTCTCAATCAAAGTTTATAATACCGGAATTTTCATAACCGGCTGTCTACAGATTCTACTATTATAATTAAATATTCATAATCCTTACAACACTTTTTGTATCATCGTTTCGATTTTAGATGGCCGATCGCATTCATGTCAATGTTTTAAAGTGAACAAAATGGAAACATTCCTCAAATTGCTCCAATTTCATGTCCATTTACAAAACAAGTTCAGCGGCAGGGGGCCTAAGCAGTCCCCGGACCACACCTTACTATTTTTTATTTCAGAATGTTGGCAGCTCTGATATCAGGACTCAGTAGCTCAGTGGATAGAGCACTGGCACGGTACGCCAGAGGCCCTGGGTTTGAGTCCCGGTCGAGACGTGACTTTTAAATGTAGTTGACTCACCAAAGCTGGAAAATGGAGGAATTCTCCCCAACTGTGAACAGAAAATCTTGCGCCGTAAATTGCACCTTTTTTGCATTACAGGATCTGTAGCGTTATTGTCAAATACAGTACAAACATAAGGCTACAGTTAGACTGAAAATTTTGCCTGGAGACTAAAGATTATATTTTTACCTGTATGTATACGTGAATTTTATGCTCCCTTTAAAGGAGGAAGGGCATATTGCTTTATTATCAAAAGAATATCTATGTCAAGTTCTGTTTATGATGGAGCAATTTTTGACAGAGTTATGCCCCTTGCACTTGGAAAAAATCATATAACTTGCAGTTTACATTCAATTTTATTGCATGTCCAGAGGTGGGGGGGGGGGGGGGGAGCATAAGTGTTTCACAAACATCTCGTTATATATTTAGCTCATATTTTGAATCCCCTTCACCCAACAATAATTTCTATTAAGTTCAGCTGAAAGTGTCCCATTCTGGAAAAGGATGAAAATGTGAGAAGTTTATGAAGTCGACATAGACAGACAATAGACAAATTCCGAGCAGAATATCTCACATAACCTATAATCTTAAGTGAGCTAAAATTAAGTTTGATTACCAGATATCATGTAAATTATACATGTAAATAAATTTCAGAAATGGAGAGGATAAAGAAGAAAGAGCAAGAAAAAAGTGAGGCACTAAAGAAAGATGCACTGGACTTTCCAAACAAAACTCGCAATATGATTTTGGCAGGAATATTTGCCTTGTCAGCAATGATGGCCTTTGCGTATTCTTCAGGAGTTGTAAGAATACAAGACAATACAAATGATCCAGATTTTGAGGGGGAGGATGAGGGAGATGACGGGGATGCTTGATCTGTGTGTTTACCACAATAAATAAGATAACCTGTCATAATAAGTTATAAACTGTATGTCCAAAAGACAGGTTAAAAAATTATTTTACAACCTTTGTGATTTACTATGTTATTGCAAGACTGTTCTTTGTGATAAAATTTTTTGGCATTACATGTATATGTATACCAAGTAAATCACAATGCAGTTTGTTATACTAATATTGTATCCATGACTGCTTAAATGTTTAATACAGGTATTTCAATAATTTATAAATGTGCAGTGCTTAGGAATGGTAGTATGTATGAAAATGCATTACAAATAAAAAGAAAGGGTAATTTTCAATGCTCGTCTTTGCTTTATTTTAAATATAAATCACACAATAATATACACGTACATGTATGTAAAAGATGTTGTGTCCTTCGTTTTGGGTTATCGATATTAATGGTTTTTGGCTAATAAAATTGCTTTACTTCAAAAAGGTATGTTACTGTATACAGGGAAGTTTTTCGCCCATTTTATTTTGGCCCCTTTCGCCCTAACCTCGGGCGAATTTAGAAGGGGTGGATTCAAAGAATACAGTATAATTTCTTAAACAAAACTGTGACTTGTCATATTTAAAATGGGGCAAAATTGTTTGCTAGTGTGAAAGGGTAAAAATAAAGCGGGCGAAAATAACCCTGTATACAGTATTTGAGATCAAGGAATTTTAAAATTTTTTTCACTAACTGTCATGATCACAACAAGCATACACACACAATCAAAATAAATTATGAAATCATTCATTTTTCTTTATGGTCAATTCTACTTCACTTTTAATCAGTTCTTCTGGACACTGTTGAATAAACAGGATGGCCATGACTGATAACACGAGAAACATTATAAACACATATTCATATCCTATAGCATCAGTGATCGATCCTAGAACCACGGAAAACGCTAGCTTCCCTAGCACCTCCAAAGTAGCCAATGTTGTGTAATGGCTGGCCTGTACATAATCAGGCGCCTTCTTGGAGCACTGCATCATCAGAGTAAAAGTGGCGGTAGTCACAATTCCACTGGTTAACAACATCAGGCACATAGAAATAATGGCAAGAACTAAAAAAAGATGTATATTAACATTATACAGTGTAAGAAGATACAGTTATTTCTTAATGGTGTATTAAAACAATCAAATATGTTTATACATACCAAAACAGACCTGACTCTTGTCTACCCAGGAAAATATAACCAAAGTTGTAAATAACATCGGGATAAGTCTGAATGCACATATATCATGCAGAACTAATGCAGTCATTCTGAAAGGGAATTTTTTCATCCATTATTATGAATGGTGTTACATTTGTCTTTCACTCCAACTTAGTATTTTTTTCTGCAATATACTGTAGTCTGTTCCTTTGGAAGAGACACAAACTGAATTTCTTACATTGTAACTTGAGTGTTTTGGGTGAATGAACTTGAATCAAACTTGCGATTTTCATGTACATGTGTTTAATCAAACTAGATGTAGCAGTAACTGTTTTACCTGCTGGTAGACACAATGCCTCCCCCAACAATGGAACCCAGTATAGAGAGCACCTGTCCCACCACACCAGTCCAAAATCCAACGGAAGAGGCTGTTATACCCTTGTCTAGCAGAAATAAGGGCAGCATGCTTAAGGCCCCTTGTTCTCCTAAAGTCAATGTAATGTGCAATAATATTATATTACATATATACAGTAAGGCATAGCAACTTTGCTTGTTTCTATTCAAGGAAAGAAGATAATTTTGGATGAATTTTTGTTCAAAATGCATATAAAATGTTCTTATGAAATTGATGCAGAATTTACACTAGCTTTTAAAAGAAGGGGGTGGGGGGTTTAAATTGTCCTTTGTAAATAAACTGTTTAATTCTATCAGAAAAAGATACTTACCTAGTTTATAAACTAGAACAAAACCAATCATCCACCATGTACCTGGTGACTGGAAAATTTCTATAAAATGCTGTATAAACCATGACTTTTCAGGCTTCTCATCTAAGGTCTCCTTTTTATTGGCTGTTTTATCCTTTGAATCTTTTTTGTTTTTGTCATTGTCAGTGGATGGAACAAGGACGGCAACATTCATCAATGAGATCACATACACAAAGGCAAGACTAAAGAGTAAATAAGACCATTCAAAGTAGTCACTAAGCCAAATTAGTACACCACCCCCAAATATAGAACCTAACTTATACCCAACAACTTGTGCGATATTTCCATATCCAAGTTCTGCTTCAGATAAAACATGAATAGCAATCCCATCCACTGCAATATCCTGAGTCGATGTTAGAAGATTAAAAAGGAACAGCACAACTGCCAGAGGTACGATTGTTTTAGGGGGTGTAAAGGCACCTGTCAAACAGGTAAAGATCAGTCCCACCATACTCCACGCTAGCCATGACTTCTTACTTCCATACTTGTCCACAAAAGGTGCCCATAGGGCTTTCAACATCCACGGTGTAAGGAGAAGTTTGAACAAGCTGATGTCTGTCAATGACATCCCATGTGAACGAAAATATACGGGAAGAAATCGTGCTTGTAAGCCATATGGCAGTCCTTGAATGAAGTACAGGCATGTTAAAAAAATAACATTCTCAAACATCCTGTTATGAATGTACCTCGGATTGCCTGAAAAAAAGTTTTATTAACCGATTAAAATATTTTTATACAGATACATGTATACTATATTGTATTTGCAAAGTACTTAGGAGATGACCATTTGAATCTGAAGGAGGGGGGTCCGAATCAGATTATTTATTTCCAATAAGATCAAGAACAGACTGCTACTCGTATGTATTTATTTTTTCATTACAAAAAAATCGGACAAACAAAAGAAGTCCAAAATTAGTGGGAGGGGGTTGGTGGGGTAATAGCACCTGTTCAGGGACATATTATTTATTTTCTTGGCAGTCGAGGACAGATTATCTATTTTCAACATTTTCGAGGACATATTATTTATTTCCAAAAATTACCCTTCCCCCTTCGGAATGAAATGGTCGCCCCCTTACCAGAGACATACAAGCTATTTATGTCTCTCTAAAATCTAAATCTAATTTAAAATTAGCCACACGATCCGAAATTACATCTTTAAACTAAATTTACAGAAAACACACACAAATAAAGATAAGGTCAACAAACGCTAACTTACTAGCCTTACTACTAAACTAGTAACACGCTACTTTCTGTTTTCAATCATGTTTCATAGATATTCGAGATCGAAAACAACAACCGATTTTAATATAACAATAACTCGGCATTAAATATATCAGACACAATTTTTAAAGTCAGTTGATAACAATATATTTCCATGTCTCTGTGATAACTTTTTGATAGTTAGCGGAATTTATTTCTTGATAAGTCTATCGGAATGTAAATTAGGCGGTTCAATAGGCCAGGGGCTAAGTTCCAAATCGAGTGGAAATAAGTAGCAAGTGAAAAGTAAAATAGCTTTCCTAAACTATTTGTATCAATTTGGAATTTTCCAATCTATTTTAAAGACCAACGTAGAGAAAAAATATCCTGATATTCATCCGGAAGGTAACGTGCAGGTAAGGTGTCATATTGCTAGATTTTTTGAGAAAGCTTTCGACAGGTCCCCCACCAACGCCTCCTGTACAAGCTGAGCTATTTAAGGAACCCCTGTCAGTTAGGAGAGTATGCCAGGGCATCAACAATATGGGAAACATGG